CCAGGGAGGGGCGGGGCCGGACTACGGGGACGTTTATGGGATACAGGCGGATGTTGGCTTGCTGTTGGGGGCGGGGGGAAGGGGTGTGGCACCTCTATATACAGCACTGGGAGCAAACCACTCCCAGTGCTGACTTTGTTTTGGCCAGGAAATAAATCACCTTGCTTTCACCACGTTCCTGCGTTCCTGTCGTCTTTGTCTCTTCGGGACGCCGTCGGACGGAGAGTGTCAATGTCCCTATCTGGAGGGGGGGGTGCTCATAGCCCGGATTTGAAATTCTGACGGTTGGGGCCCCTTCACAGTCATAGCTAAAACCTGGTATTTACTTCCAGTTTTCAGCAAAACTGTGCCCAAAGCAAACCACTGGTTCATTTAATGGCATTATTTGCTTAACAACTGCAGCATTCACTTTACAACTGCCACAAAAAAGGTCATAACATTGGGATGATTATATGACCAATTTGCTTTACAACCACCCCAAAGTTACAACGATGATGGGCAGGTTCAAAGACTAACTGTAACTCGAAGGCTAATTATAATTGGACATGAAATATGGACCTCTACATTAAAATGGATTACGCCATTTCTGACTGTTTGAAGGGAGAACATCTGAAACCGAAAACCCTTTTCTACTGGCCCATGGTGAAGCAAGAGTCTCCAGAATTTGAAAAGAAATTGTATAAGGTCTTTCCAGTTGTGCATGCCAGAATTCTAAAAGCTCTTCCTATTAATATGCAAGAATATAAATAAAAAAGGGGGGAAGAGTATATTTGTGTGTGATGTACTTGTGTGACCTCCTTGACCAACTTTGGGTGCATTCTGTTCTTGCAGAAAAATCAGTATGTTGCTTGATTGTTTAATGATTTTTGAGACCTGCCTGATTTACAATTACAAATAAAATGCTGAAGTATAACGAAAATTATCTTTAAAAATAAGACATGTTAATTGTAATTGAAGAACATACACGCCTCATCCTGATCACTAAGGCTCAAAAGCTATTTCCTCAGATATAATAGACAAATGAAAATATCAAAAGGCCCTAAGGGAAAAAGAACCTACAACAGTGATTATAAAGAAACCAGGCTTATACTAGTATATAGTAACTATGAAAGAAGCTTTGTGATTTGCTTCGGTATTCTGATTTTGCTTTCCTAATATGAATGAGACCTCAGTTTGCTTCTCAGATACCAATTTATTCTGCTCATTTCTGCAGACCCTGATACTAGCACAAATTATTGTAATACAAAACCTGTGAATTACTTTAAAAAACCATAAGATATTGTAAATTGATACATTTTATATGTACTGAACTTTAACAAAATAGATGCTTGAGACCTTCTTTTGAAGCGTAATAAAATAACAGGAGAATGAGTTCTATAATGTGAAAGAGCTTATGTTAAGGATTCTCTCTTTTTAAAAAAATGCATTATACGTAAACATTATTTTTCCCATTATCAGTGTGAAACTTGTAATGGGCATAAGCATTCTCAATAGTATACAGTGCACCTCATTTCAGCTTTCCAAGTATTGGAATAATTCCAAAATAAATTAATAAACAAACAAACAAATTCCAGAAACCTGTAGAGTCTAGCTGAATAATTATTTTTAAATAGTTCCAGAAGTCTGAGGTAGGGAAAATCTTCCAGTATTTTAAAAAATGAATATTTATTATGCCATAAGCAAGACATAAACCACATTTGGAGATGGTGGACTTATTTAGAATTTTGAATGGTCAGAAATATCTGCATCGAGAATGGAAGGAATGGTGGATAGAAGATATCATTTATCAGAAGGCAAACTTCAGGGTACTCTTTTCAAAGCAAGAGAGCATGTCTCCAAGTAGTATGTCTTCCATTTTCTAACAATGCCTAAAGGATCCTAAAAGGTACTCACAAGCATTCTTAGGATTAAAGAATAATGCTAAAGGAAAGTACTCTGCTTTGCTGCAAGACAGCTTTCTCTTTAAATTTCCCACTAAAAGTAGAGGAAAAAAGTATGAAGGGATTCTGAGGGCCATCAAGGAAAGTAGTTTCAGATAACTGATACCTATAGGTCCTCTGCTACCAACCCTTACCACAGAGCTTTCCTATAACAGAATCCACTGATAATAAAGTATTCCTTGCTGAAGATGTTGTTTATTCTTTGTTGTGGCTTATTCTAATACTGTGGAGCAGAAAATTGAGATTCATTATGTACACTTTTCAAACTTACCTGTTTCTTTCAAGTTCCGTAGTGCGACTGAGTCTACCTCTACTGATTTTGATTTCAATGGTAACTGTTCAGAGTCTATCTTTGGTTTCACTGCTGGCTCAATTTCAGACTTTGGCCTCCAGGATGCAATTTCCCCATTTATCCTATGTTCAAAAGTTAAGTGATTTTATCAGCAATTAAGGTAAAATAAAACATGTAACAAAAACTTTATATATACTTTTACAAAAATGACATGCGTTCTTCAAGAATCCAATTCCTCAAATTGTGGGTTAGAAGCTGAGATATAGGCAGAGATGCACAAAATTTTTGCTCCCTTCTTAAATGCAGGTTGCCTCCTTCAGTTCTCTTTTATCTGTTACTACAACTCATGATTTGCATACTCAGCAATCTATAGTTTCAACATAAACTTGGGAAGTGAAGTAAGGACATTATCTTTCACTACTCTGCGTGTCTGAGCAAATAATAATAAGGAAAACAAATTGAGATGGGAGAAACAAATGTGAATGTAAAAACCTACAGCATGTTCTCCCAATTTCAAAAGCATCCTTTGGAAGGACGGGGTTATAAAAGGTAAATAAGGATGTAATAATACTTTGCAATATAGTTACAAAGAATTTCAAGCACAAAATAAGATACTTACTTAGAAACGGGTGGTTGCAAAACTGTCTTATCTGGCCATTTTGAAAGCAACATCCCGGCTTTTAATAGGCTGTTAGTCTTGTTTGGAGGGACAGGCTTTTTTGGTGGTACTCGGGGAGCCACTGGTTTAGATGTCTTCTGATCCAACACTGGTTTTTCATCTGGCAACAGAGTGAGTAAATAACATTTACCATAAAAATAATGCAGAAATAATTAATAAAAGTTTCTTGCGTGGACATAGGCAGTTCTGGACAAATACCCCAAATTGCATTCTGGAAGCAATTTCAAATAAAACTAAGACAAAAACAGTGCATAGTTGAATCAAAACCAAGAAATCTTCCTTCCTTCCTTTAGTTTAGTTTCTCAGGTTCCTACATTTGCTCTTTTTAAATGGATACAAGTGGAATCCAGCATATTATTCATAAACTCTGTAAAACGTTGAATTCCCTGGGCCACAGGATTCATTAGCAAAGTTTTTTGCAGAAAACATGAATTTTGTATTCTTTAAAATGTATGAGAGCCAGTCTGATCTAATGGTTAAGGCACCAGGAAGCTGTGAGTTCTAATCCTACCTTTGGCATGAAAGCTGGCTGAATGGCTTTGGGCCAGTCACTTTCTCCCAGCTCAACCAACGTCNGTGGTCTGCAACTTTCTTGGTTTCCCCTCCCCTCAGCAGTGGCAGGCAATTCATTGGATCAGCTGAGGAGGAAGAGAAGGCTTAACCGGAGCTCTCCTCAGGGTTGTGAGGTGAAGGGAAACTGTGCAAGCCTATATTATATGTGGAAAGACTGACCCAATGGATCATGGGTTGTCTAGTATTCTTTATATATAGATGTGTGGGAATGAGGCCTGTTGCTCTATTCCTCTGCAGGAGGAATCTCTCTCCAAAAAACATGCCCACCACAGGTGCCGTGGCACATCTACAGGTAGTCCTCGACTTATGACCATGATTGAGCCCAAAATTTATGTTGCTAAGCATATTTGTCCCATTTTACGACCCTTCTTTCCACTTGTTAAGTGAATCACTGCAGTTGTTAACTTAGTAACATGGTTGTTAAGTGAATCTGGTTTCTCCATTGACATTGCTTGTCAGAAGGTCACAAAAGATGATCACGTGACCCCGGGACGCTGCAACCATCATAAATACGAGTCAGTTGCTAAGCATTTTAATTCTGATTGCGTGACTATGAAGATGCTGCAATGGTCATAAGTGTGAAAAATGGTCATAAGTCGCTTCTTTCAGTGCTATTGTAACTTTGAATGGTCACTAAATCAACTGTTATAAGTTGAGGACTATCTGAACATTTCACCTTAAGCTCAGTTGGAAAGGACATTATTGGGGTTCAGAATGGAAGAGAGCAATCCAGTCGGGTGTAGAGAAAGTCAGAAATCAGAAATATTTAGTGGAAAAAATTAATAAATATTTACACTACTGCTCTATCATGTCCTTTGTACATATTCAAATTCAATTAATAAATGCATATCTATATAAATATACCAAATATAAAATATAATATAAAAATTGGTATATATACCAAAATTATTTATTTTTTCCAAATATTAAATCAGATTAAAAATATACTGCAAATATGTACAAATCAAAAGGTATCAGCACTATTGCTAAAGTAGTAAAGGGTGTGTGCCACTGACACTACAGAATGCATGCACATAATCTAATCTAAATGGCAGTTTTATAGGATTGTCTTGTAGAAAAATTGTTTCACTAGGATAAACTATATATGCAATACATGGGGGAGGGAGAGGGGGAAAGGAGGTTAAAAGGCAAATCAATGTGGTTTATAAACTGAGCAAAAAAAATCTATATCCCTATATCCCATTTAGAAACATAAATGCACAGATATAGAGATATTATGTACCACATCTCTTTAAGATAACACATGATTTATGGCCCTGTAATTACTGGAAGCTCTGTCTCATGAAGTGATGAAATAAGTTGTTTGCATGATTCTCTACAAACCCTTTTTATGCATGTCCAGGCAAATAGGGTTTTTTGAATCCAACGATATACAGAGACAAAACTGTTGCTTACATCTCCCTGGATCGCTCTGGGAGATTCAGGTGACCTCTCTACACAAGCATCCCCAACCAGGCTGACAGTCACTTGAACTGCAATGGTCAGAAATATCCCATAATTTCAATCCTGCATGAAATCCTCTATGCTCTGGAAGTTTGGAGATTTTTAGTCCCCGTTCTTTACCCAACCAAGCGTAAAAGGGATAGCTTAGCTTTGATACATCAAGAACATTTGCATGCCCAAATAACAAATTTGTCTTTTTTATACTGGACAGTTCCCTTTTGTAATTTTAAAATTTCAACTATTAAAATACCACAATCTTAGATGGTTGTATAAAAAACACCTTTTTATTGCTTCAGGCTCAGTGCTACAAAATATTTTTATTTTTATCTGGTATTAAAATTTACTGCACTTTGGGTAATAGTATCCTATATCAAAAAAGAATAATTATGCTTTTCTATTTGATTAAGTTGCTATAAATACTTACATTTTTCTTTATTTGGTTTAAGGCATAAACTCTGATGGAATTTATGACTGATGGCTAGCTGTGAACGTCCCTCCAACCTTTAGAGTCATTTGTTATGTTCAAATAAGTAAAGGCCTCTAAAAGAGCTCATTTCTTCCTGTTCTATTTTCTGAACGTACAGATAGTCAACTTATGACTAGTCACTTAGTGACCTTTCAAAGTTCTAATGTCCCTATCTGGGGGGGGGGTACTCATGGCCCGGATTTGAAATTCTGACGGTTGGGGCCCCTTCACAGTCATAGCTAAAACCTGGTATTTACTTCCAATTTTCAGCAAACCTGTGCCCAAAGCAAACCACTGGTTCATTTAATGACATTATTTGCTTAACAATTGCAGCATTCACTTTACAACTGCCACAAAAAAGGTCATAAAATTGGGATGATTATATGACCAATTTGCTTTACAACCACCCCAAAGTTACAACGATGATGGGCAGGTTCAAAGACTAACTGTAACTCAAAGGCTAATTATAATTGGACATGAAATATGGACCTCTACATTAAAATGGATTACGCCATTTCTGACTGTTTGAAGGGAGAACATCTGAAACCGAAAACCCTTTTCTACTGGCCCATGGTGAAGCAAGAGTCTCCAGAATTTGAAAAGAAATTGTATATGGTCTTTCCAGTTGTGCATGCCAGAATTCTAAAAGCTCTTCCTATTAATATGCAAGAATATAAATAAAAAAGGGGGGAAGAGTATATTTCTGTGTGATGTACTTGTGTGACCTCCTTGACCAAATTTGGGTGCATTCTGTTCTTGCAGAAAAATCAGTATGTTGCTTGATTGTTTAATGATTTTTGAGACCTGCCTGATTTACAATTACAAATAAAATGCTGAAGTATAACGGAAATTATCTTTAAAAATAAGACATGTTAATTGTAACTGAAGAACATACACGCCTCATCCTGATCACTAAGGCTCAAAAGCTATTTCCTCAGATATAATAGACAAATGAAAATATCAAAAGGCCCTAAGGGAAAAAGAACCTACAACAGTGATTATAAAGAAACCAGGCTTACACTAGTATATAGTAACTATGAAAGAAGCTTTGTGATTTGCTTCGATATTCTGATTTTGCTTTCCTAATATGAATGAGACCTCAGTTTGCTTCTCAGATACCAATTTATTCTGCTCATTTCTGCAGACCCTGATACTAGCACAAATTATTGTAATACAAAACCTGTGAATTATTTAAAAAAACCATAAGATATTGTAAATTGATACATTTTATAGGTACTGAACTTTAACAAAACAGATGCTTGAGACCTTCTTTTGAAGCATAATAAAATAACAGGAGAATGAGTTCTATAATGTGAAAGAGCTTATGTTAAGGATTCTCTCTTTTTTTAAAAAATGCATTATACGTAAACATTATTTTTCCCATTATCAGTTTGAAACTTGTAATGGGCATAAGCATTCTCAACAGTATACAGTGCACCTCATTTCAGCTTTCCAGGTATTGGAATAATTCCAAAATAAATTAATAAACAACAAATTCCAGAAACCTGTAGAGTCTAGCTGAATAATTATTTTTAAATAGTTCCAGAAGTCTGAGGTAGGGAAAATCTTCCAGTATTTTAAAAAATGAATATTTATTATGCCATAAGCAAGACATAGACCACATTTGGAGATGGTGGACATATCTAGAATTTTGAATGGTCAGAAATATCTGCATCGAGAATGGAAGGAATGGTGGATAGAAGATATCATTTATCAGAAGGCAAACTTCAGGGTACTCTTTTCAAAGCAAGAGAGCATGTCTCCAAGTAGTATGTCTTTCATTTTCTAACAATGCCTAAAGGATCCTAAAAGGTACTCACAAGCATTCTTAGGATTAAAGAATAATGCTAAAGGAAAGTACTCTGCTTTGCTGCAAGACAGCTTTCTCTTTAAATTTCCCACCAAAAGTAGAGGAAAAAAGTATGAAGGGATTCTGAGGGCCATCAAGGACAGTAGTTTCAGATAACTGATACTTATAGGTCCTCTGCTACCAACCCTTACCACAGAGCTTTCCTACAGCAGAATCCACTGATAATAAAGTATTCCTTGCTGAAGATGTTGTTTATTCTTTGTTGTGGCTTATTCTAATACTGTGGAGCAGAAAATTGAGATTCATTATGTACACTTTTCAAACTTACCTGTTTCTTTCAAGTTCCGTAGTGCGGCTGAGTCTACCTCTACTGATTTTGATTTCAATGGTAACTGTTCAGAGTCTATCTTTGGTTTCACTGATGGCTCAATTTCAGACTTTGGCCTCCAGGATGCAATTTCCCCATTTATCCTATGTTCAAAAGTTAAGTGATTTTATTAGCAATTAAGGTAAAATAAAACATGTAACAAAAACTTTATATATACTTTTACAAAAATTACATGCATTCTTCAAAAATCCAATTCCTCAAATTGTGGGTTAGAAGCTGAGATATAGGCAGAGATGCACAGAATTTTTGCTCCCTTCTTAAATGCAGGTTGCCTCCTTCAGTTCTCTTTTATCTGTTACTACAACTCATGATTTGCATACTCAGCAATCTATAGTTTCAACATAAACTTGGGAAGTGAAGTAAGGACATTATCTTTCACTACTCTGCGTGTCTGAGCAAATAATAATAAGGAAAACAAATTGAGATGGGAGAAACAAGTGTGAATGTAAAAACCTACAGCACGTTCTCCCAATTTCAAAAGCATCCTTTGAAAGGACGGGGTTATAAAAGGTAAATAAGGATATAATAATACTTTGCAATATAGTTACAAAGAATTTCAATCACAAAATAAGATACTTACTTAGAAACGGGTGGTTGCAAAACTGTCTTATCTGGCCATTTTGAAAGTAACATCCCGGCTTTTAATAGGCTGTTAGTCTTGTTTGGAGGGACAGGCTTTTTTGGTGGTACTCGGGGAGCCACTGGTTTAGATGTCTTCTGATCCAACACTGGTTTTTCATCTGGCAACAGAGTGAGTAAATAACATTTACCATAAAAATAATGCAGAAATAATTAATAAAAGTTTCTTGCGTGGACATAGGCAGTTCTGGACAAATACCCCAATTTGCATTCTGGAAGCAATTTCAAATAAAACTAAGACAAAAACAGTGCATAGTTGAATCAAAACCAAGAAATCTTCCTTCCTTCCTTTAGTTTAGTTTCTCAGGTTCCTACATTTGCTCTTTTTAAATGGATACAAGTGGAATCCAGCATATTATTCATAAACTCTGTAAAATCAACTTAAGGGACCCGGTGTCCTAAGTAATCGTTTCAAAAAACGTCTTTTGTACTTAAAACATAAGAAATTTTACATACTCTCGGTCAGACTAGATTACCAATTCCGTGGTCCTTCGACACTCAAGATTAGGATGGAAACCGTACTTTCGACCGACTTACCGAAACCCGGTCAGTGAAAGAGGGTCGAGTTGGTTGCAGATAAGCTTGTTATGGGGGAGAATAGGAGGAACAGGGAATATTAGGTATATTCACCATCTTCAGTTATTTATAAAAATAATAAAAATAGGAAAAAAAACTCTAACAAATCTATTTTGGATGGAGTTTAAATTTCTTTTTACTGCCAACAAAATAAATTTTATATAGCATCTATATCTCTCGTCTGCTTTAAAAAACTAGTTATTTTTAATCTACATATGCCTGTAATATTACACTGAATGATATTTATAGTTAGCGCTTGCTACTTCAGGGATACACACTGTAGAATTTGTAAAAATCCAAAAAATATTATTTAGCTCTTTTCTAATCACCTGAATCACATGCATATATTCATACTAAGGCTGCTGTTTTAAACTACAGTCCTGAAAATTTATGTTTTTAGTATCATATTACCTTTTTCTGATCTTACCTTTTTCTTCATTCCTGAGATGAGGAAACTTCTTCTCCACAGGTAGAAGATCAGCCTTAGAACCTGCAGATAGAGCCAATATTTAAAAATCACACTGCTTTAGTAGAGAAATTACTATATGATAATTAATAACTAAAATGTATTTTACATCTATCAAATATGTGGCAGAAATAGAAATCTGTTTAGAAGTGCTGACCAGCATAAGAATTTTAGTCTTTAAAAACAAGAATTGTTTCATGGCGTAGCTTTTTAAAACTTGTACAACTGAATATATCGTTAAAAAGATATAGAAAAAAAATAGTTACACACTATTACATGGAAGTATGTTCAGGATTATCTCATCTGTATTCGTAGAAGTCATGAATGTTTAAATAAATAATATAAATAAATAATAAAAAACAATAAATAATTTATAAATAAATAAATAATGGGTCATAATTAATGCGAGTCTGAATAGTGCACAATTTGATTGTGATTCATAAAATACTAGGCTGCATTTAGTCTGAACCAAAATTAACTAGTACAAGGCTAGTGCACATACAGTTGTGACTAGCATGTGAGCAGTTACCATTGAGATTATAGATGTGAATCTTTGTGTGTGAAAAACAGAGAAAAGAAAATGCTCATTTTGAAGAACTACAGCAGAATACAACATATACTATGTATACTTTGGGTATGGGTTTATCCTCTTTTACTGTTATATGGTATTTCATTAATAAACATATAAAAATATATTTAGAATTTTTAATTGTCAATTTCTGTTGAACTGGAACCAACTATCTTATTTTCCATGCAACTATTACTTTGAATACTGTAGTGGAATCCCATTTCATGGGCTTTGTTAACTGCACTAATCGAGACCTAAGTATCTGTATGTATAGCAGAAAGTGATGGCTCACAAGATGCCACATCATTGTTTCCAATAATAAAAACTGTCTATGTTTCAAGACACTTTGGGTACGAATGGATTTCATCTCATAGGCAACATGTTAAAAAGCAATAATTCTGATTGAGATATTTTTTTCCACTCAGAATATATTAATAATTTCCAATCAACTACACTCTCTTTTGCAATTATGGTCTAATAAAAGCCTATCAGACATACCTTGACCTTTTGCAGGAGGTGGTGGTTTCTTTGGCTTCTGCAAAGAGGACAAAATATAAATGAATAATATTCATGCCAAGTATTTTCCTGAATTAAGACCCAGAAGACCACAGGTATTCTCAATAACTCCATTGTACTGTCTATAGGGTTACTGGTGCAAGGATTACAAATAGCTCCTTAGGCAGAACCAAGGTTTTTGAAAATGACCAGGAAAATGATTGCCGAGAAAGCAGAGGAGGCAGAGAATAAACAACCAGTTCTCTTTCTCCTCTATTTTATTTACTTATCTATCAAAATTGTATGCTATCCATCTTGCCAAAGGAGACTCTTCTTTCTCAGAAATCTCTCAGTCTCCATAAGCAAAAGTTTTATTACTAACCACTTAGAAATAAGAGAGCAGGGCTTTTTTTCTCATAAAACGCCCAGAACGGAGTTCCAGCACCTTTTTTGGATGGAACCTTGTAGGATAGGGAAGGCGAGTTGTAGGACGTGTATGAGTTCCAGCACCTTTTTTTTTTTTAACAAAAAAAGCACTGTAAGAGAGTATCTGTGAAGGTAAGATTAATGTACAAGTGACTATTGTTAGCTACACTTCTCCAGAAAAAGGTGCAACTGACATAGAAAATTAATTGAAAAAAATTGTAGCCATCCAGGAACAAAACAACAATGAACCCAATTTTTCAGGTTCATTGAATTGTATCTACAATAACAACTAGAGACCTGACTGAACTTAAAAAAACAAAACAAAACTTGTAACACAACATTCAGAACATTTCCTGGGCCTTGTCTACAATTTGCTGGTGAAATACAATTAAGAAATTGAGCAAATTAGACTGATCAAAAGAGCAAGAATTTGAAGACAACATTTTGCCCTTAGCAATTTTTTTTTACTACCGTTCGATATTATTAAGACCATTTCACCTCTAACTTCAAATTTCTTTTAAACCCTTAATTAGTATTATTCTTGATACCAGATCCTGGACGAGATTACCCTGAACTTCTCTGATTTGATTATTTTTCATTTATTCCTTATTCCTACTCTACCACCTGTCTCTGGGGTACCTGTCAAAATTTGCTCAGGAATCTATTCTGTAAGTTTGTTAAAGTCATTTATAGAATTCCAAGTATACAATGTGTATTGTTAACACCTTTCCCAAATGCTCCTTGTCACTACTGCAAGTTGCATTTACTTATTCTTTACATATATACATTATTCTGTATGCTTTAGAAAGATTTCCGTAATCCCCAGTCACCACACCTTCTGATAACCCAAACACACAGTTCAAGAGTAACACATGGCCAGGAAGAAAAATTAGATTATTATGAGTTTAATTTTGCTGAGGGTTTTAAGGATTTTAAAGATCCAAGCCAGGATCTTTTTTTGAGTTAAAAATATTTCAGAGCCAAAAATGAAAGTACTAACATTATTATAGGCACGCATCACTTTGGGTTCACATTTCCAAAAGAAGCTTCAGAGTGATGGGAGTGCAAATGAGGCATTTGTCTGCATGACCTTAAAGTAGTGCAGAGCATTTGTTTTAAGATGCTGAAGACAGGGGTTGCATCCATGGCCCTGCATATTTTGAAGCACTTTTTGGAGACTGAACTTGAAGTGCTGAACAGTGCTAGTGTTTGTCTCAATCCCATCTTCCAAGATCACTTCATTGCTCTTCATAGCAGATCTATGAGAAAGGTTAGGTCACATGATAATGACTGGACCAATGTCACCCAGAAAAGATTTCTACAAAGAGCTCCATTTTTATGGCAATGTTATATTAACAGAACAATTGCAAGGCCAAAAAAATTAAATGAGGAAAATGGAATTGAATTATGAAAAAAAAAAACTGGACAGCATATTTATGGATCTATAAAACACACTACCGTATTTTCCGGCGTATAAGACGACTTTCTAAACCCTGAAAATCTTCTCAAAAGTCGGGGGTCGTCTTATACGCCCAGTCGTCTTATACGCCGGAAAATACGGGTATTCAGGCAGGCTTCCAGAGTTCGGCTGGCAGGATGCAGGTAACCCCTCCCCCCGTCCTGCCGCCTCCCACCGCACCGCGCCGCTCCGC